TTAATATTAAAATTTAAGATGAATAAATTTATTATTATTCTTTTCTTCTATTTGGTTGTTCTGATAAAAATACAAATTATAGGTAGAATGGTTGAGGTTGGATTAAAGATAAACGAAGATTGGGAAGAAAAAAGAGAATTTATTTATTTAAAAAATGTTGAAATAAAGGAACGTTTTGTATTGATAATGAATGTAAAACAAAAAAGTAGAATAGTTGATTATCTTTATAAGAATAATGGATCGTTTTGTAAAATTAAAATAGATTCTGTTAACAAAGTTTTTATTGTTCAATTAAGTCAGGGGCTTAAATTTTGCTCTCAATTAAAAACGAGAATTTTGATTGAAATTGCCAATAATGAAATTGTTAAGAAATTTTTGAAGAACTTGGTAAAACAGGTATTTTTTATTTGTTTAATCGAAATTTAAGCCTTCATATAAACAAATTTAATATGTATATCTAAGATTCGACTAAATAATGATTTTATTATGAATACTAATTATTATGAAGTTTCAATATTAGATGAAAGTTTAGAGAATTTAAAAATAATTAAAAAAGAATTATTGATAGAAAATATAGAAAATTGCAAAAACAAACTTTTATCAAGTTATTGGACGGAAATTAATTTAATCGGATATAAAATTGAATTGTTAGAAAAACAAAAAGTTGAATATCCGAAGGAATTAGATAGAAAAATTATTCTACCTGGAAATAAAATAAGTAAATAAATTTTTGACTTAGTCTATTATTTCATTTGTCTAAAAATTCCCCTTAATAATTATAGGTGGAATAATTGAAATAAATAGACGAAAGTGTTTCAATTGTAGTGTTACACAAAAAAAACAATGGTATATTTTAATAAATGAACATTATTTGTGCAAACAATGTAGCGCATATAAACACATTTATGGAAAGTTTAGATCAAAAGAATTATGGTTTAATACTACAAAGGTTATCTTTATGAATATTTGGGGCGTTTAATAAAATTCATATCGTATCTCTTCAAATGAATTTTGATTTAATTCTGAACTTACTGAAAGTTATTTTGTCCAAACGTTATTTAATACCGTGTATAGCTTCTCATTAGGTAATTTTAGGATGATCTAAGTGTTTTACTTGAGGAGATTAACAAACAATATCTTGAACGACTCGTCTAATAAATCGCCGTTTTGCTTAATTGACATTTTGGGTTATGGGTCGTGGGTCGATTTAGTTTTCATCGATTTAGTTTTAGTTTTCATCGATTTAGTTTCCACTACATCGATTTAGCTTTGTAATTGATTTATCGCTCAAACCTGTAGTGGCCACTAGATCCTTTTGTTGTAATTTGTTTCATTAGGATCCGGCTTTGTCGTTGGCATTCACTCGTTTATATTTCGCCCTCTCTTTACAGATTTTATGTGTCGTGGGCATTCACTCATTTAGCTGTTTTTTCCTCCTTTTACAGCCAATACCCGTTTACTCTATAGGTGAGAGAAAAGACTAATATACCGTTCACCCTTCAATAGGCTTAGGATTTTAGTTGTAGTGGGGCTTGTCTTTAAGTCTCTCCTATACCCACTTTACAACCTCAACTCATAGGTAATTGTCTCTTAAAGGGGAAATGATCTGTCGTGGCACATACCGTTAATTAGTTTACCGCCAAACTCTTCCACTCGTGGGCATTCACTTGTTTAAGCCTCTCCATCAGTCGCTTTTACCGCAACTACCCATAAACTCATTAGGTGAGTGAAAAAAAGGAAACGTCGTGTCAGCCACCTTATTAATTTACAGTTCAAACCCTTGAAATTTTACTTACAACCCTCCTTTAGGCACGGGTTTTCCTTTAAAAATTGCCGCCAAAACCCTCCAAAAGGCTTGAGCTCCCTGTGAACTTACTACTTGCGCCAATTGAGATGAATTTAGATAAAAATATTTCTAGGGTTGAAATCAGTGATGAATCAAAATATATTGCATCTGATCAATTAAAAAAACATAAATGAGCAGGTACACCAGGTAGTGTATTAGTTCCTTCTACTTTACTTGGTGAAGCACAAGCTAATCTTACACGAATTCAAATGCAACTTGCAACATACAAAGTCAATGGTAATCGGCCTTCATAAAATATGATGTATTCAAATAGAGAAGGAAAATGGGCCGTAATTCACTGTTTTAGAAAATGTTGCGCGTAAATTCCCGCAACTTAGGTTTGCTCTTAGAAAATGTTGCGCGTAAATTCCCGCAACTTAGGTTTGCTCTGAGAGGTTGTTTTCAAAGGCCGGTGGGATTTTTGGCAATAAATGATGAAAATAATGAATAAATGCAAGGCAAAATTGGCAGTAATAGTTACAGGAAGACAAACTGAGAAAGATAAATTAGCGCTCCTCATAAAGTATCTAAATTACGAGCACGACTTGTACCCAATCAATATACGATAAGATATAATACATATTTATTGGTGGAATATATTTTATTGATTTGTAATATTCAAATTTGATATTCTTGATGGGTATACATGGGATTCTAAAATGGTGATACCTTTTAGAATTTGTTCGAAAAACTCAGAAAATTAAAGTTAGAAAATCCTTATCAAATAAATACTATTTATTCGTTTCCTGTTCTGTTTGATTTTTATTTGTTTTCTTAATTATTCTTAGTTGTTTATTGTAACAGGCATTACATATATATTGTTTAGGCTTTGAATGATGGTACCATCTTGACGTTTTTGTTGCTCCGCAAGTAAAACATTTTCGATCATTCGTGATTCGCTAAAATATTTGGCTCTACTCCAGTTTATGCGTCCAATCGACTTTTATGCGTCCAATGAAAGTTTATGCGTCCAATAAAAAGAAAATTGGATTTTTCTTGGTATTGCACAGTTGGGGTATGGTTCCAAAGCATTTCTTCATGTTCGGGACCTACGTCCACTGGGTCTGGGACCATTCCTTACCCTATCCCTAGAAATTTTTTAAAGTTACAGCCAATTTTTTAAAATTTCAGAAAAACGATTATAACTTTCAGAAATTTCGAGGGGTCGGGTAAGGAATGGTCCCAGACCCAGTGGACGTAGGTCCCGAACATGAAGAAATGCCTTAGACCCAACCCCAACTGTGCAATACCAAGAAAAATCCAATTTTCTTTTTATTGGACGCATAAACTTTCATTGGGCGCATAAAAGTTTTTTTGGACGCATAAACTGGAGTAGAGCCAAATATTTATGAAATAAGAGATGAAACTCGATCTTAGATTAAAATATTTTAAAGATATTTTTATAATTTGTCCAGGGTCGCTTCTAAATAACTTGTAAAATCCATCTAAATATAAAGTAAGATCTCTAATAATTCATAAAAGCATAGTAAATTAGGTATAATATCAATAAATTTAAACCATATTAGTATTATAATAACATCCTTCTGGTCTCATTTTGTCATTATATATTTTAAATTTGTGACATGGATCGCATAAATAATGTTCTTTTAGGTATCTATACCATTTCATGATAATTGTAAGTCTACAATTGAAACAGTTTCGTTTATTTTCTTCAATTATTCCTCCTATAAAAATAATAATATGTATATTTTTTAGGCATATTAACAAATAAAAAATTAAACAACTATTTACTTATTTCACTGCCGATGTAATTAATTCTACTTTTTAATTCTTCATTCGGATATTCAACTTTTTGTTTTTCTAACAATTTAATTTTATATCCAATTAAATTAATTACCGTCCAATAACTTGATGAAAGTTTAGATTTGTAAGTCTCTATATTTTCTTTTAATAATTCTTTTTTATTTATTTTTATTTTTGGTAAACTCTCATCTAATATAGAAGTTTCATAATAATTATTATTCATGATAAAATTATTATTTATACGAATCTTGAATATATTAAATTTGAGACTTAAATTTCGATTAATCAAATATAAAATACCTGTTTTCCCAAGTTTTTCAAAAATTTCTTAACAATTTCATTATTGGCAATTTCAATCAAAATTCTCATTTTTAATTGAGAGCTATATTTAGAGCAGTCATTTAGTTTGACAATAAAAACAATATTATCAGGATTTACTTCAATTTTACAAAACGATTCAGTTTTTTTATTGAAATAATTTTCAATTTTATTTCCCTGATTTACATTCATTATCAATACAAAACGTTCCTTTATTTGAATATTTTTTAAATAAATAAATTCTCTTTTTTCTTTCCAATGTTCTTTTATTTTTAATCCAACCTCAACCATTCTACATTTGATTTGGATATTCAACAGAACAAACAAATATAAGAGAAAAATAATAATAAATTTATTCATCTTAAATTTCATAATAAACATTTAAAAGTTTAACCGATCCAACATAACTGATATTAAAACTACTATATTACCCCTATTAAATTATTGATTGATTAGAGACAATAGGGCTCTGAAGAGACTGACTATCGGGTGAGAGAAGTCAGAGAAAAAATTTTTTCTCTCACCAAATAGCCAGTCCCTTCAGGCCCTATTGTCTCTAATCAATCAATACTTTGCTAGCCTATACCTTTTGACACTTTTGGGGTAAGAATGAAGTAGTGCGTTTCAGTCCCGAGCTTGTACAAAATGATACCATCTCTACAAAATGATAACAAAGATAAAATAATCTTATCAACTCATAATTAAGTTATTATCAAGAAACTGCCCTTTTTTTAAAAGTCATTTTTTACATGTTTTTTAATCATAACTTTGGTACCTGTCGATCAAATTTTTCGATCAGCAGCTTATTTTGTAGCTTAATTAATCCTCTATTAAACAATACCAAAAGTACCGAAAACTACTCGAACCTGAGCGAGTATACAGCTCGGGACTGAAACATCACTATACTGAAGTGCCCCCTACCGCTGTATAAACGTCATCCTTTCTATGGTCGACTGGGCCATAGAAAGGATGTTTTTTGTATTGATTTCTTTTAGCTGTGTATTTTTTTCTTCGCATTATTTTTAACCAAATACTTAACCAGATATTTATTTATTTATTTTTAGAGCAAAAACACCGCCACCACTCGTCACAGGAGTGGTGGCGGTGTTAAAAATTTCTGGCGGCATCTTTGGATGGATTTTATCACCCCCAAAGTAATTATCGAAGTTGAACTGGAAGATAATGGAAAGGTCGGTTATTTAATTTTTCTCCTTCCGGTCGAAAAACTGTTTCTTTTTGTTCCTCACAAATTACATAAAATAAACGTTTACTTGTTTCAAATGGTTATTAGAATTAATTTTAGAAAAAAATTTGAAGATGATTTTAAATTATAGTCTACTATTTCTCTTCACAATAGAATTAATTTAAATTTAAAAAATATTTAAAAAAAATTATTTTTAAATTTAAAGCTGCCAATGGTTTTGCTTTAATGCAGGCAGGCACTGAATTGATAAAATTAAGAACAAATGTTAGACAATTTAGAAGAATATTTTCTTTAGATTCAGATATGGTTAATTAATTTAAATAATTTGAATAATAATTAATTTAAAGGCATATATTCGTTGGACACCTTCAAATAAAAACCCAACAAAGCTAGAAGTATTGTTATTAATTTAAATACCTAAATTAAATTTAAATTAAAGTTTCAAGTGAATCAATAAAAGAAGTTCGTGTGGGGTGTAATTCTGAATTACTTAGATTAACTAAACCAATTGCTTCTCCTGAAATCGATGTTTGAGTTTATTTTAAAAATAATTTTAAATAAAAATTAAAATAGGAAGAATGTGCATTTTCTATAATTCACGGGAACGAACATGAATGTCTAGATTTAATTGCTTTAAATGCAAGTGATGCTAATATTTGGGTAAGTAAATAATTGTTTTTAAAGAAAAAAATATTTTCTTTTTTTTTTAAAGATTACCGGGTTAATTGCTTTAGCAAGTGAAGGAGTTCCTTCAATTAGATGGAGGGATGTTAGTGGAAGTTTATATTCTTCTCCAGCAAATTTACGTGAAAGATGGATGTCTTCTTTTAAAGAAATTGAGCAAGATGTTTGTTAATTAAATTAATTTTTAAAAAAGAATTATTTTTTAAAGATAAAAGGTTATACAAGTGAAAAATCGGCTGTAGGCTTATTCATTCATTAAATAATCGTTTACTCATTTCGAGAATTAAACAAAAAGTAAAGGAAGCAAGTAATTTAAGTGAAACACAAAAAGGAAAAATTGATGAAACACATTTTATTGATGTTTATAAAGATTTGGCTACTAGACCTGAAATTTATTTTTTGATGGTTAGATATGCAAATAAAGATTATTCAAATATAAATGTATGTTTATATTTACAATTTGAATTTTTTTGGGTGCCAAATGTAAATTTTCCCAAATAAAATAATAATTAAAAAAAATAATAAAATAACAAATTTTTCAAATAAAATAATTTTTCCCAAATCAATGTGAACCTGCAACCTTCAATTCTCTAATTTTCATTCTGTGAACTGTTGGTTTTAAGAATTTTTTTTTGGGGAGAATAATATAATTGTCATGTTTTACCCATTTCAGAATTAACTTTAAGACATTTTTTCGAGTAATTCGAATTTTTTCCTTTGTTCAGAAAATTTAATTATTTAATTACAGGATTTACAATTATTTCTCGAGACAGAGCAAGGCCTTTCAGAATAACAACACAATTTTGTGAAGATTTAATAGATCAATGTGAACCTTCAAATGAAGCTAGAGAATTAAATATAATGACTGTAGCCTGATTCTCTAAATTTTTACATACCCAAACAAATTCTGTTTTTGACCCCTTACATTTAAATGCTTGCCAAAATATGGAAAAACCTTTTACTAATTATTTTATTTCAACATCTTTTAATACTTATTTGGTAGAAGATCAATTAAGAGGGCCGAGTTTTTTAGATGGATATACCTCTGCATTAAAAAGAAATTGGTAAATTAATAAAAATAAATATTTGTTTGAATGAAGAATCTCGCTAAAATATTAACTAAAAATAAATTAAATTGTTTTTGTGATTAAAACAAAAAAGCCTTAAAAAAGTAATACTCTTTCCAAAATAAAAATAATAATTTTAAAGTCGATATATTGAATTGGATATTTGGGAATCCGATGATGATGGGTGACAATGCATGTGAGTTAAAAATTTTTTAAATATGAGTTAAAAAATTTTTTTGAAAATTTATTTTTAAAAAAAAGTATTTTCAAAAAAATTTCCATTAGTTTAAATATTTTGTTTAAAATAATTAGTCATTCATTTTCTAGATAGAAAATTAGATAACGAAAAGTTAATGCTCAAAGCGGCAAATTCCTAACCCTTTCAAATGGACAAGCATTTACATTTAATTAAACAATAGTAAATGCTTGTCCATTTGAAAGGGTTAGGAATTTGCCGCTTTGAACATAAAACTTTGTCAAATCTAATTTCATTTAACATTTTTTAAAAAATATTTAAATAAATTCATTTAATATTATTATTTAAAATTGTGTATTTTCTGAAAGTTTTTATGTCCAAATTAAATTTATTATTAAAAATTTAATTATTAAAAATTTAGATTTGAAAAATAAATGTCTTCCAATTCAAATTCAAATAGAAAAAGAAAGAAATCCCCTGTGCCACAAAATCAAGGAAGTAAAACTCCTGCAGTAGCTACCCAAAATAATTTACAACAACAATTAATTGTTCAACGTGTGCAAACTACTAGTAATCAGACAAATGTAGCAGGGGGACAACAAAATCAACAAGTAATACAGACAACTAATTCTGCGGAACGACAAACACTGGCCCAGGAGGTAAAAAATTTTTGAAAATTTAGAATTGAAAAAAAAAGTTTAACCTTTACAAATTATTACAGATTGCAGAAAAAAGAAGAACCCGTGCTATAACTCAACCTGAAAATTTACATTTGTTGAACTTGATTGACCCTGCTACAAATCTAACAAATACTGACGTACTCATGTTGCGATGGCAAAAAGATTATATTTTTGGGTATTATTTTAATTCCAAAAAAAATTTTTTTGAACTTTTAGAGAGCTAAAAGGAATCGTCGTGTTTGTTAAAAGAGCCCCTACAAGTAAAAACGGGTGGGATAGGGGGGATTTGATTCTTGAAATTGGGCAACAACACGAAAAAGAACGTGTGGCAGTTTTTGGCTGGAATGAATATGCAGGGATTTTGGAAAGTGCAAATTTAAATGATGTAATTTAATATTTAAAATTATTTTAAAAAAATTTGTTTTAAAATTTCAGGTAGTTGTAATGAGAAATTTGATCGTTGTTCCGGAAGACTCTGTACGTGTGAAATGGTCCGGATCAATTGAGTTCAAATTGAAGTTTGTGAAAGGTTCTACTATGAATATTGAAGGACGTGGTCAAATAAATGTTAATCAAGACGCGGTGATTAGAAGAGGTAATTAACACTTATTAAAAATAATCATACTAAAAATTTTTTGTTGAAAAATTTAAATTTTTTAAATGAAAATTTTGTTTAAAATTTTAATAATAAATTTTATTCAGGAGGTCCTTCTACTTCAACTGTTGCTGTTCCTCATCCAAATTCAAATACTGAAACTTTACAGCTGGTAGATAGATCTTCGAATTCAATTAATAATGGGTCTAATCCAGATCCAGAAATTGAATACGTGAGTTCATTTTAATTGTATAAGTTCTAAGTTACCTTTTCCCATTTAAAACATGTACGATTTGAATTAAAAAAAAACAAACTTCTAACCAATCAAAAAAATATAAATTTTATATGTTTTCAAATTAAATTTTAAAGGATTTTACGGATTTATAATTTGAGTATACGAAAAGAATTTAAGATTAAATGAAAAGATTTTAAAGAATTATTAATGAAAAAAAAAAATTATTTAAAATATTTTTTGAATATATTTTTAATTACATTGAATTTACTTCTAATTAATTTAAATTTAGTTTGAGTTTGTTTCAATTTAATTGATTTTAAACGGAATAAATTTTTTAAACTTGATTGAACACGAAATTTTTTAATCTACAAAAAATTTATTTACGAAAAAAAAAAAGTTTTGATACACGCAATCTTTTATAGAAAAAAATATTAGTTAAAAAAATTGTTTGCTTCGAAAATGTATTTATGAAAATTTTTGATTTTAGAAATATGTTTACTAAACGAAATTTTTGCTATTCTAATTTGTTAACGAAACGAAATTTGTTAACGATTTACAAAATATGTACGAAATTTGTTTACTAAACGAAATTTGGTTGTATTCGAAATTTGTTTACTATACGAAATATTTCTTTACGAATAAACGAAATTTAATAAACGAAATTTGCTTACAATTTGAAATCTGTTTACTATACGAAATTTTTTAGATTTACAAAGTTTGTTTACGATACGAAATTTGTTCACTAAACGAAATTGTTTACAATTCGAAATCTGTTTACTATACGAAATCTTTTAGATTTACGAAGTTTGTTTACGATACGAAATTTGTTCACTAAACGAAATTTGTTTACAATTCGAAATCTGTTTACTATACGAAATTTTTTAGATTTACAAAGTTTGTTTACTATACGAAATTTGTTCACTAAACGAAATTTGTTTACAATTCGAAATCTGTTTACTATACGAAATCTTTTAGATTTACGAAGTTTGTTTACGATACGAAATTTGTTCACTAAACGAAATTGTTTACTATTCGAAATCTGTTTACTATACGAAATCTTTTAGATTTACAAAGTTTGTTTACTATACGAAATTTGTCACTAAACGAAATTTGTTTACAATTCGAAATCTGTTTACTATACGAAATTTTTTAGATTTACAAAGTTTGTTTACTATACGAAATTTGTTCACTAAACGAAATTTGTTTACTATTCGAAATCTGTTTACTATACGAAATTTTTTAGATTTACGAAGTTTGTTTACGATACGAAATTTGTTCACTAAACGAAATTTGTTTACTATTCGAAATCTGTTTACTATACGAAATTTTTTAGATTTACAAAGTTTGTTTACTATACGAAATTTGTCACTAAACGAAATTTGTTTACTATTCGAAATCTGTTTACTATACGAAATTTTTTAGATTTACAAAGTTTGTTTACTATACGAAATTTGTTCACTAAACGAAATTTGTTTACTATTCGAAATCTGTTTACTATACGAAATTTTTTAGATTTACGAAGTTTGTTTACGATACGAAATTTGTTCACTAAACGAAATTTGTTTACAATTCGAAATCTGTTTACTATACGAAATTTTTTAGATTTACAAAGTTTGTTTACGATACGAAATTTGTTCACTAAACGAAATTTGTTTACAATTCGAAATCTGTTTACTATACGAAATTTTTTAAATTTACAAAGTTTGTTTACGATACGAAATTTGTTCACTAAACGAAATTTGTTTACAATTCGAAATCTGTTTATTATACGAAATCTTTTAGATTTACGAAGTTTGTTTACGATACGAAATTTGTCACTAAACGAAATTTGTTTACAATTCGAAATCTGTTTACTATACGAAATTTTTTAGATTTACGAAGTTTGTTTACGATACGAAATATTGCTTTACGAAATTTTTTGATTTACGAAATTTGTTTACTTTAAGAAATATGATTACTAAACGAGATTTTTTTGATTTACGAAATTGGTTTACTATACGAAATTTGTTTACAATTCGAAATCTGTTTACTATACGAAATCTTTTAGATTTACGAAGTTTGTTTACGATACGAAATTTGTCACTAAACGAAATTTGTTTACAATTCGAAATCTGTTTACTATACGAAATTTTTTAGATTTACGAAGTTTGTTTACGATACGAAATATTGCTTTACGAAATTTTTTGATTTACGAAATTTGTTTACTTTAAGAAATATGATTACTAAACGAGATTTTTTTGATTTACGAAATTGGTTTACTATACGAAATATGATTAATAAACGAAATTTTTTGATTTACTATGTTTGTTTACGATACGAAACTTTTTGATTTACGAAGTGTTTCACTAAACGAAATTTGTGTACGAATTTTTTGATTTACAAAATTTGTTTACTATGCGAAATTTTTGTTTTACGAAATATGATTACTAAATAAAAGTTTTTGCTTTACGAAACTTGTTTACAATTCGAAATTGGTTTACTATACGAAATTTGATTACTAAACGAAATTTTTTGATTTACGAAGTTTGTTTACAATACGAAATTTTTTGTTTTACGCAGTTTGTTCACTAAACGAAATTTGTTTAGATGCACGGAATTTTTGAATTAAAAAGAAAATCAAATCGTACATGTTCTTTCTAAGTATAATATAGGGGGAAATTTTATATTAATCTAAACTCACTAGCTTTTTTTCTAAATCAAATGTAGAAAAAAAAGAGACGTTGGAAACTGTCCATAGGAATCATGTTTTCCAATATCAAAAGTCATGTGATTTCGAAGATTAGATTCCTACGGACATATCCAACTCTAGCTTTTATTTTTACAATGAATTTAGAAAAAAAGCTAGGGGGGCCCTCTTTTTTTCAGATATCGCCAGAACCCTCACCAGAACCTTCACCTTCTACATCATCTCAAACTAATGTAAATTATAATTCTTTATGTGTATAAATTTTAATAAATAAAATTATATTTTGGGTATTTATGATTTTTTTAAAATTAAGTGGGAAGAAGATGCCGTTTTACGAGCAAGCCGAAGATCGCCTCGTCCATTACGTGCTGAAGGCTACCAACAACCTATAACTATTGCAGATTCTGATGTAATTTTATTTTTATTTAAAAAACTCACTATCTTAAATTTAAATGTTTTTTATTTTATAGATTCATGAAATTCAACCACAATCTTCTACGATAGACCAATTATAGATGCGGCACCACGGCCAAAGAGACCAGTTGGATATGTTAGAGTGAGGCATCGTATAATTGTAGACGAGGTATTACTTATTGAAACAGATCTTTTATGAGTATAAAATTAAAGTTGGCACGCTCTAGATTACAAGCGCGTACTTCTGGGGAATCATCAGCAACTTCAACTTCGCACTTGGCAGATAATACTGACTTACCGGAAGGTCAGCAAATACCAGCAGATACACCACAAGAAGCAGCAGAATATTTTAGGGGTTTTAAAACTCCTGGTGGTTTAACTGTTAAAGAGCTGGAAGCTCGAAAAAGAACAATTGTGCTTCTACCTACTACGTTTAAAGAAAGTGAGGAGATTTGTAACTGCTGTCTGAATGGTTATAAACCCGGCCAATCTATCATTTTTGCAAAATGTGGCCACAAGTATCATCTAAATTGCTTTTATGATTTTGTAAAAAATTGGAGAGCTTGCGCTCTCTGTAGGAAGGACATGGCTACGGGTAAGAATTTATAAATTGATTAGCCAGTTCTTGCCCGTAGCCATGTCCCTACAAGCAAGGATCCGAAAATTGTGAGGATTCCTGCTTGTAGTCAAGTATCCTATGATCAAGAAGTCATATAAATTCCGAGTGGCTTCTTGGTCATTGGATACTTGATTCCTACGTGTTTTCCCCCTCACGTCAAAAGAATCGAGGATTTAGAATGTGTTCCATTGACGCGAGGGTGAAAAGTTTTTACATTTATTTTGAATAACGTTTTTTAATAACCACACCACTTTTTTAAGAAATATTTTATGGTAAAAGTTGTCAACCACTTTTTGTTTCTTATTAGTTTAACCACATTGAAAAAAATTTTGTTGATATTATGTGTAAATAAATTTAGTGATTTACATTGATAGCAAATATTTCTACACCTTAATTATAAATTCAATATTTATATTTGCCATCATTGTAAAAGCAAATTGAATTATAATTCTTATTATCTCTGTAAACATTAATAATTTAAATTTCTATAATAATTACTCTTTGTCATTATTGTGTGAGACCGAAAGTCTGTTGCAGGTATTAAAATTGGGCTAATAATAGAGAGTAATTATTAGAGAAAAAAATACAATTACCATTATTTTACATCCACATTAAAAATATTTTATTATTAAGTTTCTTGTTTTTAAAAAATATTTACAATTTTATTTTCCTGCCTTTTATCTAATTTATTTTATTGCCTTCTTTTTCAACAATTTTTTAGAATATATACTAATATCATTATTAATTTTAATATCAACAATTCACTAATTATTTTTTTAACGATTTTTTTTTAAATTAGAGAATTGTTGTATTAAATTTTACTATAATTTGTAATTTTTTACCTTAAATAAATTTTAATTATTTTATTTCTTTAATTATTAATAGACAATTAAAAAAAGTTTAGGTATGAGATTCTAGGATATTTAGATTTTTTTTTTTACATTCTAGATTTTATTTACTCATTCAAATTTATGTTAAATAAAAACCCATTTTTTCTTAAATAAAGCTTTAATATTGTCCTTTAATATAGCGGCGCATGCTAAAAAATTAGATTTTTTTTAAAAAATAAACTATTAGTCTAAATTTAGATTGAAAACACGAGAAACTACTTTGTTATTGAAAGAATAGAGCCATTCGCCTCCCAATCACGAAATACTCGTGGGGAGATCGCCCACATCAGATTTAATAATCTGGCCGATCATCCCCGACCTGACTTGGCTCTAACTACACTTATTGAACAACTTTTGGATCGGGTGCTCACCGGAAGACCAGCGCCTCTCCGCGTTGGTCTTCAGGTGCAACCACCAAATTTCCACCACCCATTTACCGTGCCCCTCCGGCCATTAGAACAAAATAATGCTGCAGCATTAGCCGCAGCTATAGAGAGATTGAACGAAATATCCCAGGCCGGGATAGACCTTCTCTCAGGAACAACAACAACAAAAGTTGTAGCTGTATGGCCTTTAACTGGGCAGCGCACTAATAATCCAGCATCACATTCGGGTAGGTCCATACTAGTCTTACATTTCTCAAATAAATGTAAGGCAGTCATGTACCTACAGGTAGCTGCGATCTCGACCAAGAACATTCAGTGTCTTCGCGATGCCGTTCAATTGTGCGCGTCCACAATCCAAACGACCGCTACTGCCTTGCTCGAGCAGTAGTTATTGGTCTCGCCAAAATTAGAATGGTAGACCAGGGAAATACTGGTGGTGGTGGTCAGTCTCAATTCAAAGCCTTTTGCCAACAACAACAACAACAACATTTAAATCAAGCTGAAAATTTAATGAATAATGCTGGGCTTCAGTTTGGTCTTCAAGTATTTTAATAAGGATCCTAACCAATTTTTAAAATATTATATAGGAATATTCCCTGGATCATGTTGCAATGCTCCAAAGATGGCTAATTCACAATTTTGATGGAGAAGGCCAAGTCCGTATTGTTGTCTTTCAAAAAGAACAACAATATAGGATTGTGTATAAAGGAGAAATAAGAGCAGCTCGTTACAATCTCTGCCTACTCTTGGAGAATAACCATTATAACTACATTGGCCGCCCAGAACAACTTTTAGGAGTCAAACGCTATTGTATTGACTGTGAGCGTTCTGTGACACGTTGGTCACACTGGGCTGGTTGCAGAGTTGTTTGTCGGTTTTGTATGCGTACAGGTCCGGACTTTCCCTGTCAGGTATACTTTTAAAACTTTTTATGCATTTAATATTTTTTAGGAGGAGGAAAGAATTCCATGTCAAAACTGCGGCTTTGTGTTCCCGCGACGTTCCTGTTATGATTATCATCTAATCAACTCTGCTCCAAATGAGATGATTCGACGTGATGCGCGTACATTTGCATCTATTTGCCAAATGAGACGCATCTGTAATAATTGTCACCATATTATTCTAGCACAACAACACCACGATTGCCAACAACAACAGCACCAACATCAAATTATTTGTAAAATTTGTAATGGTCCTCACACAGAGGAACAACCTTGTTTTATTCAGCCATTAAAAGCTGAAGATGATGAAGAAGATGATATTAATGAAAATAATAATGAACAACAGCCACACCAGCAAAAACAACAACAACAACAAAGAGCAAGAAAACATCGACGTCCAATTCGTCTTTGTTTTTTTGATGCTGAAACAAGTCAAGATGACCCCGTGCAAATAAGCCAAAATATCAATGGATATAGACATGTACCTCTCCTGATTATTGCCGAGGTTGACATTTATTTTATTTAATCAAAATATAACTTGATTATAGGTTATTTGCGAAGCTTGTATACGTGCTGGTATTAGTATTGAGGATGTTGGACAACGTGCTCAAGGGTGTTTTTGTGGGAATCCCAGAGGAGAACGTTGGCGTAATTGGTGTTCCCCACCCTTCAAAAATGCTCCAGGCGACAACACCGCCTTTTCAAATAACATCACTTTCAATCATCGGCGTATGTTTTTCCATTCGTTTGACAACGCTGAAGATAATCCAGTGGACCAATTTTTGGACTATTTACTTAACCACGGTTCACAAAATATGTTAACAATTTGCATAGCTCATAATGGAGGAAAATATGATTTTCATCTATTATTAGAAGCTCTTCATAGGCGAAGTCATCCGCCAACACGATTATGTACAACAGGACTCAAAATCTATTCTATGAGTCTAGGAGGGTATCATCAGAGAAAGGTGCTTTTCAAAGACTCGCTAAACTACTTCTTTTGCGAGCTTGACGCACTTCCAAAGGTTTTTGCTCTGCCCGAGGAATTGGCTACTTCAAAGCCATTTTTCCCATATCTCTATATTCAAAGACAACATCTTCATCAGAGGATAAGAGGTCTCCCTGCAATTCAATACTACCAACCTGAATATAAGAAGGCTGAAAAAAGGGAGAAGCTCATTGAATGGTATCTACAACAATCATCCGCCCAAATAACAACAAACTTCCAGCTTCGTGAACAACTAATTATTTATTGTGTAAATGATGTAGCGATTCTTCGCGAAAGTGTACTCCGATTTAGACAACTTATTGGAGAAAACACAAAGAATCTTGACCCTTTTTTGACGGTATCAACAGCAGCAGGACTCGCTTTAACAACAATGCGCCGCTGCTTTTTACCAGAGAATTGGATTGTTCACTCGCCCGAAGGAGGTTATTTGCGAGGACGACGAGCTTCAGCTGAATCGCAGCGATACATCCGCTTTTTTGAACAACAACACCCTGAATCTGCAGGTCAAATTCAGCACGCACAATGGGCAATTGGAGAAGCTCATGTTGAAGACTGCGGTTATAGACTTGATGGATTATGGCAAAGATCGCCCCCGCTTCGCCCTTTGGCTATTGAATATATGGGGTGCTATTATCACGGTATAATGTTTTAATAAAGCTAATCAATTTTATTATAAAATTTAAGGCTGTCCAGAATGCTTCCCAGTACGTGACCAGCGCTTAGCAGCTGGACGTACAGCAGAAGAACTTTTTGAGAGAACGCAACAACGTTTATGGGAATTAGAGCATCAACATGGATATCAACTTCACGTAGTCTGGGGACATGAAATCAAGGAAAAACTGAGAAACAACACTCAGTTAAGAAAAAAATGGCTCGAAATTGATTGTGTACGGCCAATGGATCCCAGAGAAGATTGCCTTAGAGGAGGAAGGACAGAACCCTTCAAACTTCACCACAATTGTGCTGAAGATGAAGAGATCCTCTACATCGATATTGTAAACATGAATTTAAATTTAAAAGAAATTATAAAAATTTTTAAGGTAAGTCTCTACCCTTATGTCATGAAGGCAAGATCTTTTCCTATTGGTCATCCAAATGTACTGACTCGCGACACGTTGCTTCTTCCACCAAACAACCCTTTGCCTTGGACAACTCCTGAGCATAACATCTATAAGGGTTTGCTTCTTGTTCGAGTTCAACCTCCGAACTTTATGAATGGAAATCTTCCACCAGTTCTTCCATACAGAACTCATGATGGGCGACTCACGTTTCCTCTTTGCGCAAAATGTGCTGATAACAGACAACAGCGGCCTTGCATTCATGGAGAACGTGAACGTTCCTGGCTGACTGGTTATACCCATGTGGAGCTTAATTATGCTTTGGAACGTGGATATAAAGTCGTCGACATTTATGAGGTAATATCCGAGGTTAATTTAAATTTAACAAATTTAATTTGTTATTTAGGTTTGGAATTATGAAAAATGGGATCCGAATCTATTTCGATCCTATGTGAACACATTCATTGGATTGAAACAACAGGCTAGTGGATGGCCAGATGGTTGTGCCTCGGATATGGACCGAGCTGACTACCTAGCTGAGTTTGAACGAGTTGAAGGAATCTTCCTCGACCCAGAGAAGATTGAAACAAATCCTGGATTGCGAATGATTGCGGTAATTTAACTTAGAAAAAAAAATATTCAAAATAAATTAAATTTTCAGAAATTATTAGCAAACTCGCTCTGGGGAAAACTGGCGCAACGAGTT